GGGGAGTGATGGGTGTAGGGGTGGTGGGGTTGGGGTTGGGGGTAAAGGGCATAATCATGGAACCCATCAAGCTCAAATTCAGTATACTAAATCTCCAGGCCCAGAAACTCAATTACCCTTGAGGCCTCAAGCAAGTCCTAAACCAGTTTTCAAGCAAGAAACCATTTTGGGTAAGGCATTTGAGGATGTTAAGGCACACTATACACTAGGTAAAGAATTGGGTAGAGGTCAATTTGGGGTTACATTTCTTTGTACTGAAATAGCAACTGGTCATCAATATGCTTGTAAGTCAATATCAAAGAAGAAACTTGTTACTAAATCTGATAAAGCTGATATGAGAAGAGAGATTCAGATTATGCAGCATTTAAGTGGACAACCAAATATTGTTGCATTTAAAGGTGCTTATGAGGATATGAATTCAGTGTGTCTTGTTATGGAGTTGTGTGCTGGTGGAGAGTTATTTGATAGGATCATAGCTAAGGGGCATTATACTGAAAGAGCTGCTGCATCAATGTGTAGAGCTATTGTTAATGTTGTACATGTTTGCCATTTTATGGGTGTTATGCATCGTGATCTTAAGCCTGAGAACTTTCTCTTGTCAGACAAGAGTGAAAATGCTGCTTTGAAGGCAACAGATTTTGGGCTGTCCATGTTCATTGAAGAAGGTTAACTCTGCTGTATGCTTTCATTAATATTATTTTACTATTTCCGTATTTCTCATTATTAGTTTTCTGTTACTACTTGCTGTCGCTTATGGCTCGATTTTCTTACTATCCTGTTGTCGTTACTGCTTATGTCTTTGTCAATGTTGTGTTGTTGCTTTTCTTAAGCCGAGGGTCCGTGTACACTCTACCCTTCCTAGACTTCCTTATGGAACTATAATGGATATGTTGTTGTATGTAGCAGCTTTGGGATGAATCCTTTTGATGGCAATTCTAATGAAATCATCAAACCACAGACCTCCCATCTTTTCTAGATTTAGGTCTGCTATCTACATATCAAAAGTAATTGTATCTATGTAGGCTAAGATCCTGATTGCTAAGTTTAGAAGTAGAGGACTTTATCTGTTTAGACTCCGGAGATGTTCGCATCATTATTAACGTGCTAACCTGCTAATCCAATGTTTCTGTGCCAAAGAGGCCTCACTTTTTACTGGAAAATTTTTGCAACAATCATTGTCATCAATTCAGGCAATAAGTAAAATGCATTCATGCCTTTTTAGCATGATAAAGGGTTCCTAGAATTTGTCATTAATGTCTCGAGTCTGTTCAAATTGGCATGTAAAGTTACTTATATTTCTGCAGCCTGTTCAGACTCTTCTCTCCTTTGCTTAGGAAGTTCAAATTATTTTAGGCCTGATTAAACTTCTACGAACCTAGCTTACCATTATACAAAATTGGCTATTCTACAAGATGATAGCTCATTATCTGAATTAAGATAATCCTCTTCTCTTCTTACCAGCTTTTGAACTTACACAACCTAAGCAGGGTTTGCATGACTTTTCCACTCTTCTTTACTGATTCTATCCCTGCTCTTACTTTGTTTGGTGTAATAAAATAATGGCATTCCGTGCAGGTAAGGTGTACAAGGATATAGTTGGGAGTGCTTACTATGTTGCCCCTGAAGTCTTACGGAAGAGTTATGGCAAGGAAATAGATGTTTGGAGTGCAGGTGTTATGTTGTATATACTACTCAGTGGTGTGCCTCCCTTTTGGGCAGGTAAATTCAAGTGCTCTCTTCTGCATAATTATCAGTTTGCAGTGTGGTTTTATCTAGGACTAGTTGTGTTTATTGGTTTTTGTAATCTATAATGCAGAAACCGAGAGAGGTATATTTGATGCCATATTAAAAGAAGACATTGACTTTGAAAGTCAACCTTGGCCCTCTATCACAAGTAGTGCCAAGGACCTGGTCCGAAAGATGCTCAATAAAGACCCAAAGCAACGTATTTCTGCTGCTCAAGTTCTTGGTATGCATCCTTCAAAAAATAGCTCATTGACTTTAATAGTCGTAATGGTTTCACACTGAGTAGTAATGTTAGCCGCTATTGCTTTCTAAATGAATCCTCAAAGGATGCGAAGTTTAGTTTGTCATGTATTTGGTGACTTTGCATAGATCTATTTTAAATTTGTCTTACAGTTTATTGATGGTATTGCTTCATAATGAATTCTTTCTTGATAACCAAATAGGTTTGGCATGTGAATAGTGTTATCGAAAGCGATCGCTTTATCGCCTAAAACGATGGAGCATACAACTATATGGCTCAAAGTAATCTTGCGAGAAATGCTTAAACTCAATTTTTTCTTGAGAAATAGTGGAAATTGGTCATTGAACAATTTTAGTACTAGGACTCCTCTTCACATAGGCTTCAGTATGATCTTTGCCATCATTGTGTGCTTCTTCTTCAGGGTTTACACCTTTTCTTCTACTACTTTTGCTTCTTTTTTCTTTTCAAACAATTTACTTCTCTTCTTTAAACATTGTCTTCTTCTAATATGTGAGTCCTCTGCTCAAGTGCTTCTCTCCTTTCTACTTCCTAGTTCAGTTAATAAATCAATAAAACATGAAAATGAAAGCTGTAAATATATTTATTTTTATGACTGATTAATTAAATAACCACAACTTGCTCGAAATCTAGGTGTAGTTATTGAAGTTGTTATGGTCGATTATTGAAATAAAAAATTAAACACCAGATTGGAGTCATGTTTATGGCCTTGTCGAAATCCGTTCGGAAGGGTTATAAAATGATTTGATTTTAAAGTTAAATTCATGTTCATGTATGTTCTCAAAATGACATTCTTGTGTTCAATGCGATAGATTTCAAATCACTTGTTTCCACATGGAGCCTAGGAGATATGAAACCTAAAAGATAGTAACACCAAACATGAGAAGACTTACTGTTTGCAGCTCAAAATAGTGGGATTAGTTGACTTTCCTTTACCTTTATTTTAGCATTTGCGTTATTGTCCTAGTTCTTTTATTTGTGTTTATTTCATTTGCCCTTAAACCTTACATTTATATTATTGTCCTAGTTCTTTTATTTGTGTTGCACTTGTATATTTCATTTCAGGTTAGTTACTTATGTTTTATTTTATGAGCATTATGTAAAGTTATATGAGAAAAGGATCAAAATACCCCTCAACTTTGGTTTACTGTTTGACTTTATCCTTGCCGTTAAAATGAAGTTAATTTTACCCCTCCCGTTACTAATTTCACCATATTTACCTCTCATTTGACGGAAAGCCCAAAATTAACCCAAATTACCTGAATTTAAAAAAAAAAACCATTCCCTATTTTTTACCCAATGCCCCGACCCCTCTAGAGGATAACCCAGTTAACCCGTATAACCCCTCAGCTTCCTCCTCAATGCAGCCATGGGTGCAACCAGAGAATGCCAACATATCCATCTCATATCTTAGATGCAATGCTACAAATGGCCCTCTCCCCTAAAGCATTCGTACCAATTTTTCTCCCAAAGCCTCAATATCTGGAGTGAATTTCAATGCCTGAAAATTCACACGACATCTGAGTTTTTTGAAGCTCAAGAGGAATCCATTGTTTGCTAGCCTAGTATCTGTTCTGTTGAAATGTATTACTTGATGCTTGCTGAAGAGAGGCAGAATCTGCATTAGTAATCCGAATGTGTTAATACATATCGGTAAAAAGGCAAATAAATGAGTCAGACATTTGGAGACAAATCCTAACTCGTAATCAACAACTAAATGTTATAGAAAGACAATAATCAAAGAAGATTTGTTCAATTTGATATCTTAACAACCATAAGTACAAATTCTGATGGAGAAAAGGGGTTATCTTTTCTTCAACTCATTGTTCTTGGACTTAGCTTCTGATGGAGAAAAGGAGATTATCTTTTCAAAGAGAGAGAATGGGTAAATGGGAATGGATAACAGGGCATTGGGTTATACGGGTCCTCTATAGGGATCGGGGCATTGGGTTAAAAATAGGGAATGGTTTTTTTTTTTAAAAACGGGTAATTTGGGTCAATTTTGAGCTTTCCGTCAAATGAGGGGTAAATATGGTGAAATTAGTAACGGGAGGGGTAACATTAACTTCATTTTAACGGCAAGGGTAAAGTCAAACAATAAACCAAAGTTGAGGGGTATTTTTGATCCTTTTCCCTTTTAGTTTAAGGTAAAAATTGATGTGATTTACATACTTTCAAATGTTATTTCGTCAACAGACACTAGGACGTGTTACCCCTTGTTTAAAACCTTGGAATCAATCATTATTTCATATTTAAGTCTTTAAAGTGTCTGATCCCTATTTATGCTTTCACTCATCTGTATCAACAGGATCACATTTTTGCTATTTTGGTTAAGTATTCAAACTCAGATTAACTTAGACCATGCATAGATGAATGATATACTTAGAGAATACAATCTAACCGATTTTTTGTTTTGCCTGGTGATAGAGCATCCTTGGCTCAAGGTAGGTGGAGTAGCATCAGATAAACCATTAGATAATGCTGTCCTCTCAAGAATGAAGCAATTCAGAGCTATGAACAAACTCAAGAGACTTGCTTTAAAGGTAACATCGGAGTTAGTCGACTCTGATTTCTTTGCTGTAACTCAATACAACTATATGTCAATCTTTAGCTATTTGGGGTTTGCTATATGAATATTCCATTTGAACCTATTTTATTCGTTCAGTCTAATTTGATGTTAGGGGAAAAGGGTGTAAACGGTATTATTTCAAATTCACTTCTCTGTTTTATTTGCCTAAAGAAGAGGAAAACAGATACAAGATGAGGAAAACCACTTACCTTTTGGCCCATTTTCTTAGACGAGTAAGCGGCAGAAGCTTACAACTTCCTGTTTACATCAAACAAAAGAACGCTAATTATATTCCTTTCTTTCAAACAAACAACTTTTAGAAGAACATACTTATAATATGAGCTTAAGAGACCATATTTGTTGTGAATCATATCCTTTGAATGAAGTTGGTGAATTTAGTGTGCTGGTGTTCTTCTAAATATAAATCTGAGCATATTTCAGAAATGAACTTTACTCTTTTTAGTGTTTCCTTTTCACACTAATGGACAACGCACTGATAGTATCTTGACAATATTTGTTGCAATCAACAAATGAAGGTTCAACTACTGGATCAAATTGGATGCAGATTGTCTTGACATGCTACTTGATGTCTGTGGGCATGTTTAGTGTCCCGCCTTGAGCCTAGTGCAATTGGATGATTTGTTTTATCCTCCTTGTGAATTCCTTCTTCTATGAAATTAATTCGTTTACTCATTCTTGTGAATTCATTTACCCTGAACTAGCTCATTGCTAATTGAAATGGTTTTGGTATCAGGTCATTGCTGAGAATCTCTCAGCAGATGAAATTCTGGGGCTCAAATCAATGTTCCATAACATTGACACCGATAATAGTGGAACGATCACGTATGAAGAATTGAAGAGCGGATTGGCCAGACTTGGATCAAAGCTCACAGAGGCGGAAGTAAAGCAATTGATGGAAGCTGTAAGGCAGAATTACTCGAGACACATCAACTGTTTCTTCCTTTCACTTTGTTGTCAATTGGTGTACCATGAAATAACTAATATCTTGTCCACTTCAGGCTGATGTGGATGGAAATGGCTCGATCGACTATATTGAGTTCATCACTGCTACCATGCATAAACATAGACTTGAAAGAGATGAAAATCTATACAAAGCATTTCAGTATTTCGATAAAGATGGTAGCGGGTAAGTCCTTTTGTAAATGCAGCGGTGGATGATCAAATGTGTGGAATTGTTAAACCAGTTGAGTTTTCTTCTGTATAATGCAGGTTCATCACAAGAGATGAACTCGAAACATCTATGGAAGAGCATGGAATAGGCGATCCAGCTAGTATAAGGGAGATAATATCTGAAGTAGATGCTGATAATGTGAGTTTGGTTACTCTTAAATCATATTCCAAAACGATCAAACTTTTCTTAACACGTATTGATTCTGTCATATTTACAGGATGGAAGAATCAACTATGAGGAATTTTGTACAATGATGAGAAGTGGAGCTAAACAACCAGGCAAGCTCTTCTAATAACACGAGTCTCCTAGTCGTTGGAGGTAAAACTCGGGAGTGATTCTTCAATGAACTGTTGCGCTGCCCATATGACCGACATCAAGTACATGACCAACCTGAACTAGTTGGCGTTTTGAAGTTCTCCGGTCGAAACCTGTAAATTGGTGATTCCTGTTTTTATAATCTATGTTCTCTGTGGTTCTTTTTCTCACATGTTGAATTGTCTACTCAGAGCACAGAGGAAATGAGTGAACATAGACTCTTTTACTATTTGAATAGAAACAAATGACCTTGTAAAGATATCTTGTGTTATTTTCAAGTTTTTTTATATGTAAAATAAAGATCTCTCGTAAAAAGAAACTGAGAATTTTTGCGCGAATCACCCTGGAGTTCATTGCGTTCCTTGTATGGAGACTCACCCACCTTTTGTTTATTGTGCCTCTCCTCAAAATCAAGTCACACCATTTGACACCTCGAGTCTTATTTGTTGTGTTGAGTGTATGTGCGTGTTTGTTTTTACTCTTACTTGGACGTGACTTGTGAGGTAGGGGCGGGCTAAGGCACTTTCCTAATAACTTATACATGTATGTTAGATAGATTTTAAATTGCATACCAAACACTATACTAGGTGTGTTGAATTTCATACATAGCAAAAGAATACAAATATAGTATTATTTATGCAAAATTTAATGTAAAAATAACTTAACTTGGAAAAAAACCTATCAAACGATTCCTAAATAACTATATATAATGAAAATCTTAGTCAAAATCAATTTTACTTGCATTTTCAATTATTCACAAATTTTAGTGAATTTTAAATATAAATATAGTTGAACCTTCAAATATAGTACGTCAAACAAATTTCATTTAAACAACTTAACAAAGTCAGTTCCATATAAGCAAGTTAGCATTCAATGCAATTGAAAATAAGACATTCAATTAATTTGAATTAGAGCTATAATTTAACTCACCTTATCAATATAAATCTCTTGCAATAATATTTTTTATTGCTAAATAATCGCATAAGCTTTATAAGCATGTGACCTTTTACCAACAAAATTGATTTGTGACAATAACTTTTTTTTTGTTGCATAACTTAGCTTTTAGCAACAATATTTTTTATTGTTAAACTTTTCTTAACAATATTTACACCAACTTTTTTCTGTTGCTAAAAGTACTCCTAGGGGCCGTTTGGTTACTGGGTAGAGTTATGCATGTATTAGTTATGCAGAATTTAGTTATGCATGTAATCCTATATAGTTATGTAGAGATCACAATACATAAAGTATTAACTATTAAATATTGAATTTATTGTAAATTAATATATATATTATTATAAATAAATAAGTAAGCAAATAGTATAAGTTTCTCACTTTTTGAATAAAAAGTAAATAAAAAAAAATTCCCTCTATACTAAATTGGGACCGTTATTTTTTCATTTTGTTTTTTTTTTAATGTTTATAACTTATAAAAATAAAATACGATTAATATATTTCAAGTACATTATAATATCCTATTTTATATAATGTAAATATTCTAATATGTTGTATATATTGTTTATACATTTTTAATATACCGAATATATGAATTATGTATAAATTCACATCCTAAACAAAATAATAATACATGTTAATTAAATAAGTGAAATATATTTAATAATATATAACCTTAATAAATGATTAACATATGTGCCAGCAAAATATATACAATTCAATTTGTAATATTAATAAAATATTACATTTGGATTTCAAATGAAAACAGGAAAAAAAAGTTATTTGTGAATTAAAAAAGAGTGAAAAAAAAGTTAGGAAAATAGTATAGTTAGGTAAAGTTTTCAATAAAAAAATAAATTAATAGAGGTAAATTTGTAATTTACTATTTTAATACATGTATAACTAATACCTACATAATTTATTTCACCTGCTACCCTGCATAACTTATACATAGATTTCCTCATAAGTTATGTAGATATTAATTATGTAGGACTGCAAAAAACATAACCAAACACTGCATAAAATTAATACATGAATAATTTTTATATAAAATTTGAAATCCTACCAACCAAACATGGTATACGTTATATTGACTTTTTCACCTAATACATAACTTCTACCAAACATAGTAAAACTAATGTAACTATTTATACATGAGTAAAATTAACCAAACGGCCCCTTAGCCAATAACATTGAATATATATTGCAACAAAAATAAATTGTAGAAAATTCCCTACTTTCATATAGTTGGTTTACTCATAATTTTACGTGGCATTTTACCAATTATATTGTATTTAAAAAATAATATTCTCTATATTATATTATTATTATACCTATTTTTGAAAAAAATAATTGCCTTTTAGTTATAACAAAACTATAAAATGCATTTATCATCATGAATTTAACTCATTTAAATAAAGTATTTTATATGACATTCATTATTACAAATTATTTTAAAATTTTATTAATATTATTTTATAGTATTGTTGTAGTATTACATTTAAATAAGGCGGAATGGCCCGAGAGACCCTTGTACTTGACTCGATTTGTAAGTTGGATCCCTGTACTTACGACTTTGCCAACTAAACTCATTCAAACACAATATTTTAGACCCCTTTCTTATCTGATGTGTGTGCGTGTAGTACACTCATTTTACACATGAAATACCACGTCATTTTTAATGACACATTATTATTATTATTATTATTATTATTATTTTAATGACACATCAGAAATTAAATATTAAAAAATATATAATATTTTTAAAAAATGCAATTTTCTCACTGTCTCTAACTGTACCATTTCTCTTCCTTCCACTTCATCTTCTTTGTTCCCACCTTCTACCATTTTCATCTTTCTTCATAGTTCACACTCAAAAATTTCTTCAATCACAAAATGTGATAGATTATAATTAGTTCTTGCACATGATTTATGATTCTATTTATTTTGATTTGATAAAAGAAGATATCAAGAAAACTTCAAATTGAAAAAAATATATTTATATGTAAATTCAAGTAGTAGATCTTAAAGAATTAAGTTTATAAAAATGGTGAATGAGTAGAAGGGTTCAACTGATAAACGAAGTCAAGTACAGAGGCCTCCCAGGTCATTCGATCCTAAATACAATTATAATTTTTGTTCCAAAAACTATCCAAATTATGTCAATTTTAGCCAAAATTCAAAACCAATTACAACCCCTAATTAAATTGATTCAATTTATGACCCAACAAAACAACCCAGAACCCGACCTATTTGATCATTTTAATCTCCGCCGTTTAATCAATTTAATCGGATGATCCACAATTCTCCCTTTCACTATTTATTTAACCCTCACAATTTTCTAAATCCTAATTCATTTATATTCCTCCGATCACCTTCAACTCTTCTCTTTGTCTCTCTTTCATCCTACAAACAATAAGAGTTTCCTTCAAGCCCTGATTATTTCGTATGTGAATCTAGGGCTGAGCATAAATACCAAATCAAACCTTTTTTTTGGTATTTCGGTCTTCAGTTCGATTTTTGGTATTTCGATTTTCAATTCGATTTTCTAGATGTGTTTTTTTAATTTTTGGTATTTCGGTTAGGTTTTCGATATGTATTTTTGTATTTTTCGGTATTTTGGTTTAACAAAAATTTACTATATATATATATATATATATATATATATTATGTAATAATTAATATTTATATTATATTAGTTTACCTTTTAAGTTTTATTTCTTTTTGCCCTTAGCAAATTAACAACTGTCAAGTGTCAACTAGCATTAGGGCTTCAACTTTTCTTTCTTTTTTTCCACTTTGCGCCGCACTTTTTAGGTTCCAACTTTATATATTTCAAGTAAAACCAGCCGACCAGCGATCACCGCCACCAGTGACCGCTGCGACTAGGGTAGTAACCAGCGCCGCGACTAGGACTGCCGACCAGCGATCGCCGCGACCAGGACTGCCGACCAGCGACCATCAATTTCAACCGCGACCCATGGTATTCGTTCAACATGTTTTTGTTTTCTTCTTCCATTTCATTTTTATTTTTGTGTGAATTGTGAAATTAATTTTTTGTACAAACAAAAATTGAATCGAATTAACAAAAACTGAATCGAAATAACTCGGTTAGATGTTTAGTAACACTATTACAAGAATCGATAATAAAAAAAAATTTGAAACCGAACCGAATTATCGAATACCTAGCCTCCTATGTGAATTTGTATAGTTTTTTTCATTTTCGAATATTTTTTTCACTTTTTGTTTCTCTCTTTATTCATTTTTTGTAAGATTTGGATAAAAGAATGAACATCTGAGAGGACTTTTCGTCATAAATTGTTCCCCAAAAAAGGAGATGAAGATATCACAGTATACGAACATAGCTGTTTAAATACTAGTAAAATGGGGTAACAATGTCTATTTCTTATCTAAATGCCGATTGATTTGTTTCCATGTTTATATGATTTATTTTGATGTCATTTTTTTAAAATTATTTTTGAAAAGGGGAACTATGGAGGAGATTACAAAGTGGGGAATCAAACTCTTACCAACAAGGCAACAATTCAGGTAATCAACTAACTAAGCTACTAATATTTCTCTTAGTTTATTAGTCTCTTAGTTTTTTTCATTTTTTGATTGTCATAATTTTATCCTTTCCTTGATACATGACATATAATTCATCTAGACAAATTTGTTGATTTTTTTTAAAAAATTTCCCCACTATTTTTGGTCAAGTGTGGAATGCTATTATAAATGCAACCTTCTCCAATTTGAGACCTGACTTATGAACCTGATCCTGACCAGGGACCTAACTTCCAACCCTAAACGTGAATCTCGACTGGGGATCTTAAATCCCTGATCTTAAACATGAGTTTGAGACTCGAGACTCAGACTCGACTCTTGATTCTCAATTCTTGACCCTTGATGTGATCTTACTATATGACTCCCAAAGTCATGAGATCCAAACTTGACCCGACTCAATCATATATCAGTATCAAGGTCAGATCCTGGTTTGGATCTGTATCTTTAATCTCAGTTTGGGATTAGG